ACCATGCCCGCAGATTTTGACCAGTTTGTTTCTTAGAATTCCTATGAATCTTGGAGAAGAGACCAGCTTGATTTTGACTTAGGTTAAAGTTTTCTTTCAGAAAGGGATAGACATAGAAAGATTGCATTCATCTGGGGAGCATAAAGTAACAAAATAGGAGACTAACACCCAAGAATGGCCAAGATTAGTACCAGGAATCTTACTGCATGGCTTGGAAGTCAGCCACACATGCTAGGGAAAAAGGGAGCTCAGATAGAGAAGGGAGAACCAAATAAAGGGTGTTGGGCGGATCCTCCCAGGATGGGAGAAGCATGCTGAAAGTAAACTATAGACCAAACATGATTGCCACCCATTGCCTCTTTTGCAAACCACAACACCCAATAGGAGAGAGAGAACAAAAGGGAATGCCCTGCCACAGAGGCAGGGTGGGCTGGGGGGGTGGGGGGTGGAAGGGATACTGGGATCCGTGGTGGTGGGAAATGGGCACTGGTGGAGGGATGGGTATTTGATCATTGTATAATTGAAAGCTAAGCCCAAAATTTTGTACCTCATGGTGTCTCACTAATAAAAATAAAAATTAAAAATAAGTAAATAAAGTTTTCTTTCATAAATTTCTCATCAAATATCTAATGCTGTATTTCCATGATGTCAGAAAGCACATTCTAGGTACTAGAGGAGGAATTCGCTGTTACGTTTGCTCAACAAGACTTCTATTGTTTTTGTTTGGGGCCCACACCCAGAGGTGCTCAGGGCTCACTCCCAGCTGGGTACTCAAGGATCATTCCTGGTAGGGCTCCGGGGACCATATAGAATGTCAGGGATCAAACTTGGGTCACATCAAGGCAAATGCCCTAGGCAAGACTTCTAAGAAATTCTTCTAGAGCAGGATAACTTGTATCTGTCCCTCAACTTTACCTTCCCAGACCCTGGCACAGCCAGTGGAAAAAATTCTGTTCATTTTTGGGTGGTGGTGTTGGTAGTGGTGGTCGTGGTGATGATGATGAGGATGATGAAGACAAAGACAAATTCCTGGCACTGAGCCCCATGCTAATTATCTCAAGATCTCCCAGAGAATTCGTTTCAGAATAGACTTTTGTGGAACAGTTCAGCCATTCTAACTAATTTCATTTTCACTGAGTTAAAAATAAAACACAATAGCTGTCTACTTAGAAGGAGAAAGTTGTATTTTTTTCTCTTGGCCACTGTCACTGTCTCTGTCCTCCCATTGTTCATCGATTTGCTTGAGCAGGCAACAGTAATATCTCCATTGTGAGACTTGTTACTGTTTTTCCATATCAAATACACCATGGGGAGCTTTCCAGGCTCTGCTGTGAGGGCAAGATACTCTCCGTAGTTTGCCAGGCTCTCTGAGAGGTTCAGAAGAATCGAACCCGGGTCGACCGCGTGCAAGGCAAATGCCCTACCCGCTGTGCTATGTCTTAGCCACAGCAGAAAAATACATAAGTTGTTTATCAAGATGAAAAAGATCAGAAAGAAGTAAGGTGTACAAAGTTATATTTTGTTCATTTTACACAGTTATAGTTTTCATTCACACTTAGGGTACTTGAAAATAAAATCAAAGGACTTTGAAAGGTGGTATCAATATCTCGCACAGCAATGGGTGAGAAAAAGAGACCAAGAGGCAGAATGATTCTATTTATAACGCGTGACCTGGGGCTCTAAGATGCTGAACCTTGACTTATCTCGGAATAAATAATAGCCTGGCACCGTACACGTGGCTGCAGGCAGCCTGAAAGCCAGCAGCTGTAGCGCAGAGTGAGCTCACCCTGTTGCCCATTCAGTTGACTTGAACCGTGAGAGCCACTGAGGGCCCCAGTCTCCGCCCTGCCAAACCCTAATACCAGCCCAGTCGGCCTTCCCCCAGACTCCAGGCTCAGCACAGGCTGAGGAAACCTCACTCTCTTCTGCCCTTCACATCCAGACTCCGCTGAGGTGAGAACAGGCTTCCTCTGGCCAAGGAGTCTACTTCCCAATGTCTCTGAGTGCGCCCTCCCTGCCTGAGAAACACTGGGTGCAGCAGTGTACCAGGAAGGAGCTACTGTTTCTGCTGAGGCCTGTATGTCCTGCTTGGTCCCCTGGGAAAGGCACCTCAGGCTCCCTGTAAAACTCTCCCAGATGCCCTGTCTCTTTCTGGCTGGGCTCCCATTGTTTACCATTCCCAGGTTACCTGGTTGCTGTTATTTTGTTCAAGTTCTTCCCTAAGTTGGAAAGTTTCTCTCCTTCCCTGATAAATTCACACTCCGAAATGAGAGGCTCTTTGTCTTAGTATTTCTACTTCCGGGACTGAAAACAAGGGGTGTTTTTTGACCAAGGAAGGACCCTGAGAATTTTGAGCCTCCTCCCAACATGGTTGGCCCCTCTAGAAAACTGCTTCCTCTCATGACACTTGCCTATTTTCTCCCCCATCACCTTCCTAGGTGGGAACTTCTCCACAGCTAGGGACGTCATCGTCCAGTTCCCTGGTGGCATCTCTGGGCTTAGCCTAACATCTGGCACACACAAAAAATTAACACCTGTAGGTGACTCTGAACTCCACTGGCTTCACTCTTCTGTCAGAACCCACCCTCATGCCCCCTCATTCCGAGACCTCTTACTCATTTCCTTCACTTCCTTGAGGAAATCTTCATGCGTTCCCTGGGTGCTCTGAGTGTTTCTTCTCTGGCCTCCTGGCTCCCTTATTTGGGCACTAAGCCTGTCACAGTGGAGTGTGCGAATGCTTCCCTGCTCAACTAGAATTCCTCCAGGGCTCATGCTTCATGTTCACCTTTGAATCTCTGTGCACAGAGATTCACAGTATCTGGACACAGGAAATCTGTGTTTGCCTCTAAAGGATATCAGGGCCTGGGAGATAGCTTGGGGGGTGGGGGGTAGGGGGTGGGGGTGGGGTCTATTGCATAAGCTGGGGTAGTTCAATGAGTCCAGTACCTCCCATGGTGCCTGGAGGTCCCCAGTACCTTGGGCCTGAGCAGTGCTTTGTCTGAGCATCGAAGCATTCAGTCTGATTGACAAAATATCATTGGGAGGGGCTCCCATGGCTGAGCACTGCTTGGGAGTCCCCCTCCGCCCAATAAAAAAGTGCAGGCAAACCCTGTCTGAACAGAGATTCCGCCATAGTGAAGCTTTGTTAGAAAGAAACAGGTAATAGACAAACAGGCATTTCATTTTTCTGTAGGAAGTGGGAGGTAGTTTGGGATTTGGCTCACATCCATCTAGTGGTACTCTATGCTTGGGGGGGGGGCGGGGGCTTTGCCATGCTGGGGACAGAACTAGGTCAACCACCTTGCCAAGCAAGTGCCTTAGGCGTCAAACAATCTCTCTGGGCCAAACAGACACTTAGATGGTGGTGGTGGGTGGGAGGAGGGGTTGTTGCTAGGGAGGGAGGCCCAGACCCCAGGTTACTGCATTTTCTAACTTACTCTTTGCCTTGTTTTAGTAGGAAACACTCTGGTCTTGGAACAAAAAACAGAAAGAAACTTTATCCAAAAGATCAGTATTCACGAGTAAATGATTAGCTTTTGACCACCATCAAAAATTCTTAATGTTTTCCAACTGTGGTCTTTCAGTGGTATTGGCTGCCTCTTTCAGCAACAGACAAGAAGGGAGGGCGTCTTTGTCCAGGCCCCCCCAAGCAGCTTACCCAGAAGATGCCGAGAATCCCACTCTACTCGGAGCCTTGAGGTCAACCCCTAGCCTAAGTGTGGGGTTTGGAGTAATGTGATTAAACCGGCGCAGGGTCACTTCTATTTCTCTCATGCACCCATCATTCCTCACGACTACACGCATCATTTCTTCCTATATCTTTTGATTTCATCACACCATCTACGGAACCCTTACCAGGGACTATGAGAAATTTAAACATGGAAAAGACTGACCCTAAGGGGTCAGCATGATGAAGACATCATGGGGTCCCTGAAATCAGAGTGTCTATCCTGAGTTCTACCTCCACAGGCCACGTAATTTGATACCTCCCGGCCTGCCCAATGCCCCTTCCCCACACGCCCCAGGGGGCATGATAGATATTTTGAATTCCAAGAAGACAGACACCTCCCTTTGAGAGATGCTCAATGCTGGTGTCCAGAGAAGAAGACAACGGCATCTCAAAGAACTTGTCCTCAAAGGAGAAGGTAGTCTCCCAGAACAAGTTCTAGGCACCAAGTGTGAGAAGGGCCCCTTCTCTCCCTATCTACCCTCACCAGGTTCTAAAAGTTCCCCAGAATGAGAGCAGTGGAGGCTGACCCGAGGGTACTCCCTGGAACTGTTAGTTCCCATCTCCAGGGGCCATTGGCTTGAGGACCTTAGTTATTAGTTAGCCTTGGTTTTGGGGTCACAGACTGAGGGGCTTCTCCCAGCTCAGAGCTAGAGGTCAGTCCTCATGGTGTGGATGGACGATGGAACCGCCCCAACTTCCAGCTTTCAAAACACTCATGCAGCTGGGTAAGCAGCCTCAGGCCCTAAAACGGAATTCTCTAAGGTAGATTTCATCTAGCGCAGGTGGAGGGGAATGAGGGCGTCAGCCCCTTCCATCCTAGCTCTGTGTCTAGATGGAGAGACCTGGAGACCCCTGGATGAAGGGGCCAGGTGTCCCGAGGATGGAAGATGTGGGCTTCACTTGGACAGAAGGCGCTGGAAAACTTCAGGATAGATGGAGTTGGGGATACCAGGACAATGAGGTTAGGTCCTTGGGATGGGTGAAGTTGGGGTATCTGGATAATTGAGGTCTGGAATATAAGCATCCTTAGTATAAGGATGCTGGTTGTACGCTAATAGAAGAGACTGCAAGGTTCTAGGATGCAAGAGTCGTGTATCTGGATGAGGGGCTTGGAGAAAGGGTGGGTCGGAGAGGAGGTTGGGCTGGCCAGGATGGAGGGTCCGAAGAATCCCTAGCACCAGGCTGCAGTGCTCAGCTGCAGGGATCCCCCACCCCCCCTGACTTCGGGTTCAAGTTAAGTGCTCCCCCCTCGGCCCCCACAGCCACCCACCTGGGCACGCCCTGTCGTAGTCGAAGCAGCAGTCTCCGACGAGGTGGCACGCCTGGTCGCAGTAGCATTTCCCGAAGACCCTGTCCAGCCTCCAGCCCTCGACGAAGCAGGTGGGGTCACGGCCGGGGCAGCAGCGCCCCTTCTCCGTGCAGCCACCGCGGACCCCGGGCCCCAGGCCGGCCAGCGCGCACAGCAGCGCCATCCACAGGCCGCCCATGGCCAGTCGGCGCCGGGCACTGCACAAGCTGCGGGCCGAGTGCGAAGCGCGGCGCAGAGCGGCGGCCCCGAGCGCCAGCGGCCGGCGACGTGCAGCCCGCCCGGCCCTGCCCCGCGCCGGCCCCCGCCCTCCGCGCCGCCCCTCCCCAAGCCTGCGCGGGTGGGTGCGGCGGAGGGCGCTGTCCCGCGTGGGGGGATAATCGGGGCGCCCAGCGATCGGCGCTCTGGACCCCAGATCCCTCCCCGCGGGGTGTCCGCGCGCCCCCGACGCCCCCGCCCCCTACCCCAGCCAGCCCGATGTCCCCCGGAGGGTGCAGAAAAGCAGGTGCCGGGCGGGGCGGGGGCGTCCCAGCGGGGCGGGCAGCGGCGGGCAGGCCAGCTGCCACTCCGGGGACACCCCGTTTCCTGCTTCCTGACGTCGAGGGTGTCCTTAGCAGAGGGCACGGTCGCCCGAACGTGGACATCTGATGGGCAGCCAAGGTCCAGGTCACCCTGACTGTACCCCTAAAGCCGGGTCCCCCGGCGCCCAGAGGCAACCCAGAAACCAGCATACATGGCCCAACGCGCCCCCTTTTCTCCCTGTCCCTGGAAAACTCCACTCGGCTTCACTTTAAGAGGCAATTCATGATTGCGAAGGCAAAGATAAATAATATAGGAACAGTACTCGGCTCTAAAGTACATTTCCCAAAAGAAATCCAGCTTAACTGTAAACGAAATAACATCCACTTTAATAAAGTGCTTGCCTAAGTTGATATGTATCTGTGTGTATAAAACACACATACACAAACGTATTTTTTTCTTCTCCCCTCGCCTCCAAATAGATTCCCCGCCACCAACTCACTCTTTCTTTGTTAACCAAAAATTATCCTGAAAGTTTTATTTTATCTTATATCCTTAAGTCATTTAAACCATATTGATCCTTGTGGAAACCAGGCACAGAAAATGCTCTCTGTGAATCTAAGAGATCTAATTAATTTCAAATATGATCTTCCCCCTTTCTTCGCTAAAGACTTACAAAAAAATGTCTTGTACTCTTCAAAAAATTTTTTTAAAAAGTTAAAAAATATGTTACCATAAAAGTCATAAAAACAAAGCAAAAAGCAAAACAAACAAACAAACAAACCCCCCAAACACAATAATCAAACAAAAAGTAAACCAGGAACCTGTGAAATAAAATGACTGAAGTAACTAAGAATTACTGCCTGAAAGACACCTTATGCTTTGCGTGCACACATGAGGAAACTTTGCGTTGTCGTGTGTGGCTCACAAACCAAAAAGGAAAAAAAAAAGAAAGACAACTTATGGTCTTTAATAACTAAGTCTGATCAGTGTAGAATTGATTTTCTACACTGATTTTCTTTTTTTTATTGTCCTAGGGAAAAGACAACTGTAGAAATTCTTGATGATTATTCACACAAATAAATTTTGGTCTTGGAATAATTTTTTCCTCCTTTAGTAAGTTTCTCCTCTTTGCAATTTAAATGACATATGCTTTATTTTTAGATCTTAGTAGTTGATACTAAATAGTGTTGTCAGCAAATTATACCCTCTGCCTTTTACCTGTGTTTTAGGTTTTATTAGCTTTGTGCTAACTCATTCAGGTAATTTACACCCTACCACTCCCATAAGGTTGTCTGCTTTATGAAATGCCTTAAGCTAGAAACTTATTCTGTAATGCCATAAGAATCTGGTATTGTTCTAGAAAAATATAAAGGAAAAGGATCTATGCATCTATTGATTTTTAAGTATGACACATGTCCAGCAAGAGATTCTGAATAATAAATGATTTGTAGGCTTGCCCTTCAAGCACAGCGGGTAGGGCGTTTTTGCATTGCATGCAGCCTACCTGGGTTCGATTCCTCCATCCCTCTTGGAAAGCCTGGCAAGCTACCAAGACTATCCCACCTGCATGGCAGAGCCTGGCAAGCTCCTCATGGCATTTTTGATAATGCCAAAAACAGTAACAACAAGTCTCACAGTGGAGACGTTATTGGTGCCCGCTCAACAACAGGAGGACAGTGCCATAGTGTTACAGCAACACATGAAACACAGTTATAGTGAAAGATGACCTTCAGTTTTGGGGAATTAAAAATGTAATGCCCTTTGCCTGCTCAAGTACTGTTTTCCACTCATTTCGCCTTTTCCTTGTACCTGGATAAAGCCAAAAATCAAAAATTCGAAAGCAAGATGTTGGATTTCTGTGTTCTGGACATGCTCAGAAATCAGTTCTGATTTTTTTTGATGACACATGCCGTCAAACACAGACTGTAATTCCTTTCTAGGTTGTTGGGAACAAGGCAGCCACCGCACGTGTGATGAGCACAAAGCAGGTATTGCATCTCGCACTCCATGAAGGAAGCCCAAAACCAAGCAAGAGATATACAGTAGTTGTTTTTTTGTTTTTTGTTTTTTGTTTTTAGTGAGACACCTTGAGGTACAGTTGTAGAGTTACAATTTTTGTGCTTGGGTTTCAATTATACAATGATCAAATACCGCTCCCTCCACCAGTGCCCATTTCCCACCACCATGGATCCCAGTATCCCTCCCACCCCCACCCCCCCCATGACCCCCATCCCACCCTGCCTCAGTAGCAGGGCATTCCCCTCTGTTCTCTCTCTCCTTTTGGGTGTTGTGGTTTGCAAAAGAGGCATTGAGTGGCAATCATATTTGGTCTATAGTCTACTTTCAGCATGCTTCTCCCGTTCACAATTGTGCTCCAGAAAATCAAGTACCTAGGAATCAGCTTAACTAAGGAAGTAAAGAACCTGTACAAAGAAAACTACAAAACGCTACTTCAGGAAATAAAAGAGGACATGAGGAAATGGAAAAATATCCCCTGTTCATGGATCAGGAGAATTAACATTGTCAAAATGGCAATACTTGCCAAAGCACTGTACAAATCCAACGTGATCCCTATTAGGATACCCATGACATTCTTCAAAGAAATGGAGCAAACACTCCTGAAATTCATATGGAGCAATAAACCCCCCACGAATAGCTAAAATAGTTCTTGGGAAAAAGAAAATGGAGGGAATCAACCTCCCTAACTTCAAACCATACAGGAGTTTTAAAAACAGCTGGCAAAAACAAAGGAAATCACAATGGAGGAGGAGGAGGAGGAGGAGGAGGAGGAGGAGGAGGAGGAGGAGGAGGAGGAGGAGGAAGTGAAGGAGGAGGAGAAGGTGGAGGAAGAGGAGGAGGAGGAGGAGGAGGAAGAGGAGGAGGAGGGGTGGGAAAGACTATCACAAACAAATGCTTACTACTTTAATGTCAGCACATAAAAGCTTGTCTCCTGTATAAAATATTGAAAGAAACTCACAGTCTCAAGTTTAAGCTTGTATCGTCTTGAAATATCAAGATAAGACTCCCCTGCAGGCCCTAGCAAAGGAAGTAGTCCCTGCAGGACCAGACAAAGCCAGGGGACACTAACATTTACTTAAGGTAATGGAGTCCCCATCCTGTCTAGGACTGGGTGCAGTCAAACACAACAATCAGTCACTGTGTTTTCCATGTCCTATGGCTGTTGGGAGAACAAAAATCATCTTAGTGAGTCTGTGGACGAAGATAGGAAGTAATCAAGTGCACCTAAAAAGACACCCTTTCTTCTTAAGTGTTGCCTTTGGAGACCGTCCAAGACTGGTGAATTACAGAGGGGCATGGAGGTCTTCTGTTCATCACATTCCAGAACACGGCAGTTTTAAAGGATATCCACATATATGATCTCATTCAACTTGCATAACCGTGAGGAAAATATTGACATCCCCATTTTGCAGATGACGGAGATTAGGCTTGTAGCTAATTAGTTAAAAAGAAAAAACCACCAGAATTAAAAATAAAGTTATTCTTGCCAAAATTCTGCAAAGTTCTTCCCATTACTTAAAGCCTGCTTATGGTGGGGAAAGGGTAATGGAAAATAAAGACACGTAAGGGTAAGTGCTAACAAGTATATAGAGAAATAATAATAATTAAAAAAAGGGCAGGTAATTTCCAAAAAGGTTTGAACACATTTAAAATGAAAGATGGAGGGCAGGGGAGAAACATTGAATACGGCACTTGATTTGTGACAGCCAACCCTGGTTCTACCCTCAGCACCCACCATATGTGGGTCCTCAAACATTGCCAGGAGTCATCCCTGAGCACAGAGTCAGGATAAATCCTGAACACTACTGGGTATAACCCCCAAATGAGAGAGATAGAAAAAGAAAGAAAGAGAGAGAAAGGAGGGAAGGAAGGAAGGAAGGAAGGAAGGAAGGAAGGAAGGGAGGGAGGGAGGGAGGGAGGGAGGGAGGGAGGGAGGGAGGGGGAGGGAGTAGAGTGAAGGAGGGAGGAGAGTGAAGGAGGGAGGAAAAAGTAGGAAGGAAGGAAGGCGAGCAAGCAGTCTCATACATGTGAGGCATGTACTCTCATCACACTACATTGCTGACTCCCAAAAGTCTCATGAGTTTGACTGAGCAATTGATTTTTAGACAGATTCTGGGACATGTGTAGAGACAAAATGCTGAGAGGTATTAATAAAAATGATTTTTATTGAATATATTGATTGTAATTTCACAATTATTTTTTATAATAGTATAATATAGTGCACAAAACATAAGAAAAAGTGCTGTGAACACATGGTGTATACTGATAAATAGATTTCGGGCTGACAGTCTGTTAGAGCTTCTGTATAACAAAATATTATAAATTGGATGATTCCTAAAGAATAGAAATTCAGTTCTCACAATTTGAGAGGCTGGAAAGTCTAAGATCAAAGTGCTGAGAAATTGAGTATCTGGTGAGGACTGACTTTCTGAATCTTATGCCTTCTAGGACTAATCTTACGAGAGGGCGTTTTCATAGAAATGTTTATTTCATTCATGAGAACGCCATCCTCATAATCTAAATCCCTCCAAAAGATCCCACTTCTTCATACGCTAAGCAGCAAAGATCCACTTTTCTACTGGGGATGTGGGGGTGGGGAGAGGGTGGCACTCAATGAAGCAGGAGAATATGATCAAGGGGCCGAAGCGATGTTACATTTGCCTCCCCAGCACCCACCCAGGTTCAGGTTCAATCCCAGGCAT